CCCCGCCGCGGACCCCACCGGACCCGGCTGCGGCCTCCCGACCCTGGCTCTGGGTCCGCGGTTCCTGCGCACTCACTCGGCAGCCGCGCCGCTCACGCGCTGCTGTTCTCCTCCAGGTCCGTGCGTGCGGGGATCCGGCGGGGCTGGCGGGGGCGCGGGAGGGCCTGAGTCGGGCAGGGTAATGGCAGAATCACAGAGCGCGCTGGACGGTGTGAATGAATCCACGCGGGAGTGGGTGGGGGCGAGGCAGGCGCTCGCGGGGCTGGAGGGGTGGGTGGGGTGGGGGTGGGGGCGGGAGGCTGCAGGGAGCGCCAGGGCAGCTTCGGTGAAACCCACCTCCCAGCAAGCGCGGGGCCGCCTGTCCGAGCACACCCGGCGAGCACCAAGCTGTGCGCCTCGTCGTCGTGCGATGGGTGTCCCATCGCTTCTCCCAGTGACCCTAGGAAGGAGGTCTCCTTTCAGGCGAAGGAGCTAAGCACAGAGACGGTAAGTAACCTGCCCGAGGACGCACAGCCAGGCGCTGGGAGGGTACCTCTGTAAGCCCGAGCTCTGCGCTTTTGTTGTCCTGGCCCGAGCACAGAAAGTCAACACGAAGACAAAGGAGGGTGTCAAGACCTTTTACACCCGTAAAACCGCCTCGGGAGCGAGGGTGAAGGGCAGGGTGGGGATGAGGGGCTTCAGATGTTCCGAGGGCTAGTGGATTCTGTAAATCACCTCCCGGGCAGAGATGAGGGTGAGGGGCCCCGGACATTCTGACTGTTACTTAAGTGGTTCACAGAAGTCAAGATAAGCGTTAGTTTACACGTTGCCTGGGTAGAGTGGAAATTACAGACCTTAGTTACTTACTACAAGCTGCAAGGGCCAAGATGGCGTGGGTTTGGACTGCTTGCCTGTCACATCAGGGTTACAGAGAGCAGTTTCAACAGAAAGCCGAGGTATGGTTGAGGTATGCAGTTTTATGGGGCTTTTACCATGTCACATTCCCCCCTTGTTTTGTTTACAGGAATTAAATCATTGATTCCTCCAACAGGTATTTTTTTTCGGCTCTAAGGGCCCACATTGAGACCTTAATATCATTAATTTTATGGAGTCTACCCTAGATTTTATGAACCTTAGCAGTTGGTTTAAGAGGCAGAGGCCAAACATGAGCCCCAGTAGCAGTGGGAAAGATGTCTGCCATGTCCCATCCACACACAGATACTCAGAGACCCCAGGTTCGCCCCGCTGTCCGTCTTCCATCTGGGGTAGTTACAGTTATCTTGAGTGGATTATAAGACCCAGTGTAGCATGGGGATGGGGGAGAGTCTCGGTTATAAGAGAAGGAGCCTCTGTTTTCGGTGGAGATAGTTTCATAACTCCAGTGGGGGCAAAATAATTCATTTAAGTCTCCACACTTTAATCAAAACAAACCAAACCCAAGTGTCAGGTAGGAAGTTTGGGAGTGGCAGATGGACTTGAGCGGCTCAGACTGCAGGAGGGGCTGAGGCTCAGACGCCAGTGATGCATTCAGCTTCCACCAGCCACAGTCAGACCCTTTGCACTGGCTGCCCCTCCCAGACTGACTCCTGCCCAACTCCAGTTAGGGGGGTAGAGCGTGCCTTCCAGCCTGGAAGTCAGCAGGGCAGGCTCATAGTTTCCATGTTTCTTTAGTTTACAAAACAAAAACCAGAACTGCCGCTTAAAAGCCTCTGAAATGATTTCATGACACGCTGGCCTCCACGCCACCCTAAGGGTGCGGAGTCTCGCCTCTCAGGGAGTGCAGCTGTGGGGTGTGGGCTGCCCTGGGAAGTGGGGACAGGGATGGGCGTGGACCACCCAGAGTTGTTTGGGGTGGCAGGTTGTGTTTTCTCAAAATGGCCACAGCAGTAGTTCTGATCCCGTGTCTTCAGAACCTTCTGTTCCCATGAAGACACTATCTGTGCTGCTTCTCCGTCACCATTATTGGGGCTTGGGACTGCCCAATAGAGGGCGGCAGAAGCGATGTCATGTGACTCCCAAGGCTGCGTCTCGAGCAGCGTCCTGCTCTCTGGAAAGGTCCGCCTTGGAACTAGAACTTCCTCCATGCTGTGAGGGAGCCCAGGCCACAAGGGAGACGCCTGTGTTGCTGCTGGCGTTCCTACGGAGCCCTCTGCCGACAGCTGGCCTCGGCTGCCTACGTAAGTAAGCCCTCAAGGTTCCAGACCTGCCTTTGAGCTTTCCTGGGGAGGGGGCGATCAGTGGGGCTGAGGCAGGCTATCCCTACCTTGTCATGGCCAAGTTGCAGATTCATGAGCAAAACAGATGCTGTCATTGTTTTAAGCTACTGTGCTTTAGGGTTGTTACTGTAACAGTCATTACTGTGTATAAATGATTCCCATTTGAGAGATGAATAAATGATACAGAGGGAGTCTGTCAAAGACTGCCCTGCTGGTAATCAGACTCCAGAGGACAGTGTCTGTTTAACTTTTTATTAATAACATTAGCAAACACAAAAGTAGGGAGAATGTCACAAGTCACCCAAAGTACGTATCACCCTGAGTCAACAACCACCAAGTTATGGCCTGTCCTCATTCACTTTCCTCCACTGCTGGGTCATTTTGAAGCAAACTGTATACATATTAGATCATTGCATTTGTAAATGCTTCAATATTTATCTCTAAAAGAAAGTCCATTTGCTGGTGCAGTGACTCATGCCTGTAGTCCCAGCACTTTGGGAGGTTGAGGTGGGAGGACAGCTTGAGCCCAGGAGTTTGAGACCAGCCTGGGCAACAAAGCAAGACACCATCTCTTCAAAAAATAAAATTAAGAATATAAGCCAGGTGGAGTGGGTTGGAGGCAGAGGTGGGAGGATCGCTTGAGCCCAGGAGTTCAAGGCTGACTATGATGGTGTGTCTTAAAAAAAAAAAAAAGTCTAGTCTTCATAAAAACTCTTGTTATCCTAACCTCCAGGCTTTCACTGAGCTGACGCAGTGGCTGGAGGCGGTTTACTTGGTGGGTAGTGGCAGCAGGAAGCATCAGAAATCAGAGGGCAGTTGGTTTGTTTATTTGTCTGGTATTTGCAGGAAACTCAGATGCCATTTATCTCGGTTTTTGAGCTGCACACCTTGATGCTGAATGAAAGCATCTTAAGCCACGTATATGAAGAAAAGGCTCTTTTCCAAACATCTGAACTCAAATTCAGTATGAAAAGGACAGGTTGCAGTGAGCCTTGTCGGGAGCCCCGGGAGCCGGCAGTCGGGGCTCCCTAAATGATTCATCTCTGCAATCCACACTGATAGACCAAGCTGTGCTCTTCCCTTGTGACAAATGAATACCCTGTATAGGCTATCCTGAGCTAACCCTCCTATTCTTGCCCTTTTTGCTGAAAGGAATTATTGTTAATACAGCTATTTAATTCAGGACTCTTAGCCAGATTTCTAAAGCAAAAAGCCAATCAGCATGTAGCAGCTAGCATATTGGGCTTGTGAAGTAAGTGTCAAATAATAATAATCACCCCACTGTGCTCTCTAGCGGCACTGTCTGACCTGCCAAGCTGCCCCTGGGATACCCCTCCCACCCTATGCCTGGGGGAGGAGGCGTCTATCAGGCCAAAGGAGTCTGGCACAGTGATGCTGGCTCCTGTTTGACCAGGCACAGTGACCCGCCAGACCTCACAAAGGCCTTAGGGCTGCTTACTATAAATAAATCACAGCTTTGTGCAGGCTGAGCCAGTGCAGTTCTTCCAACTGGCTGCTCCTCTCCAAGAACCATCCGTTCTTGGGTGGGCAAACAGGAAGCCTCTCATCACAGTGATTGTCAGATTCTCACCACTGTGTGGGTGCCTGAGGCCCGAGCAAGCCCAGCCCATGTGGCAGCTTCCTCCCTGAGCTGGACAGGAAGACCTAAGTCCACCAAGCCTTCTTTCATTTCTCACACTTTGCCCCCAGCACAACTTTCTATGAGCATAGATTCTGGAATCTTCATCCACATAGGAGAACAAAAGCTGCCGCAGAACCATTTTTTTTT